CCCCAAAACCCCAAAACCCCAAAACCCCATTTAGGGTCCTTCGATTTGAATTATAGATAATTTTAAGTCATCTTACTAGGAATTACTATATTTTTTGGAATAATTATGCTCTTTTTAGTTTTCTTTTTAGCCTGCTTTGGATGTCTAGAAGCTGAACACAACGCTTTTGCTCCCTTCATTGGTTTTTGGTCTAAATTTTGGACTAGGGAAGCTGTTTTAGATTGGGTTTTGTTGTAAGGGTTTATGGAAGTGAGGTATCTTTGTCTGCTTTCCATAGATCTCTAATATAAATTTCAGATAAATTTATTCAAAACAACTAAAAAATAGATTTTCAAATAAGTAAATTATTTGTGTTCCTCTAAGGCTTTGGTGATCAGAAATTATAAACTTTATTTAGATAAAATAAATTCAATCATACTTTGCAGTGAGAACTCAGATAGTACTACTAATGTGTAGCATAAAAATATATGTATGAAACAATAAGCAAGCTCTTTGCTGAATTCGAGAAATACATTACTAAAACAAACCTAATCCCAATTACCTTGGTCTGATATCCCATCTTCCTTATAACTTTATTTCCAATAACTTGTGGTTTGTCTAATAATCCTTTCAAATTAGCTTCATCCTACACAAAATTAACATTTTCAAAACCCCAATATACCTAAAAATCCGATTAAAACCACTTAAAACTCATCCAAACTGCTCTAAACTATGTCTAAAATGCATTTAAACTAAAATTAGCCTATTACCTTCTGAAACAATGTGTTCATGATTGCAATATAGTAGTCGGTTGCCTTCTTATCATTTCAAATACTTGAGTTTCTTCTTTGTAAGCATTTGTCAGCATGTATTTGTTTAAGGGATTTTATAGTTAGCTCTGACTCTTTGTAGTTGGTTTTAAAGTTGGATTTAGATCTTTTGGAGGTGTTTTGAGAAGTTGGAACTGATTTTTGAAGGTATTTGGGTTTTAGTACTGTTTTGATTTTTGGATGAGTTGTTTGGGTAAGGTAGAGATTTGCTTTTTCTAGGAGTTTAAAACTTTTAAATTTATTTTGAAGATTTTCTTATGTGGATCTTCGCTTGTTTAATTCTCTTCAAGGACTTTAAATAAGGATCCACTGCGTTGCTATATCTTATCTCAAACTACTACTAGAAATAACTTTTATACAGTAAACTGTCAGATCTCGCGCTCTTAAGGCTGTAGTTCTTTCTTGAGGACTTATTTAATCACAATGCCAGATCTTGGTCTCTTTCTATACACCAAAACTTTAGCGACAAGAAACAGCAATGACAGCTAATCTGGACTCTTCCATATCTAAACTGTTTGAGGCGTTACCTAGGCTGGGACTTTTGGTCGTGTGACTTATTTCCGTGACTACTCGACTTGGGTTCCATTTTCAATTATTATTTTGAATATTGGGGTTTTGGGGTTTTGGGGTTTTGGGGTTTTGGGG